ACTTCAACGTAAAGCGCGATTATCGCCAATGTATTTCATTTAAGCCGTGTATACACCTAGTGAACAACTGATTGAACAGCGAATGCAAAAGTTTGTGTTGTTATTTATTACATAAAAGTTCCATAAGTTTAATTGCTATGTGCAACGGACATAAAATCTGATCGAATGCTAGTATTCGGTGGAATCACGAAAAAGAATAAATTACTTACAAACACAAATGTCTGAATATTCGCGTTTGGTGTTCGTTTGTTAGATGTGTACGCAGCTTTATGCAGCAAGCAATCAATAAAGATTGTAGATTGCAACCCAACATGAATTTTTTAAATGGAACCTCCTCTTTTTTTTAGATATTCTTGTAGCTTATCTCTAGAGCTTTCCAAAACACTATAATTAAGTTCATTTTCATTAAGTAGTTTGCGTGTTATAAGGCTTGTAATTACTGTATTACTATGTCATTTTAGTATCAGCTCGAAATATTTCATAAGGAAGAATAAAATTGAAATTGTTGGGTCACCGGTATATTTTATCGTCGGCGAACTACCGTAAACGGTATAAATACTTCTAGGAAGCAATTTCTTGTATATATTCTATTTACATCACCATGGTGATAAAAATGTGACGCAAGTCAGAAATTAAAAATACAGTGTTTTAATCGAGGGGTAAACCGCTGACCAAAATTCTGTATACCAATGCCTAGTAATGCCCAGTAATGCCCAGTAATGCCCTCAGCGGTTTACCCCGAGGGGTAAAATCCTGTATACCAATGCCTAGTAATGCCCAGTAATGCCCAGTAATGCCCTCAGCGGTTTACCCCTCGGTTTTAATTTTAAAAACATGTGACGTTGTTTTAAAAAGGATATATAATTGCATACCCAGTATAAATATGAAAAAAGATGAATTATGCATACCCATATTAAGAAGCATTTTGGAACATTTCAGTAACATTGCAACAACGTTACAATGTTGGCGAAATGTTTCTAAATGTTTCTTACTCACTGGATATTCATTACTATAATTAAAATATCGTCTCAATTAAAAATTTTAAAAGCTCTATTAAAGATTACTAGTTTTGAGATATGTCATTCTTTCTTTAACACAATAATATATATAATATATTTTCTATTATTAAATCACAAATAAAAATTAAAATTTCGTGTAATATCTGTGATTATAAAATTTTATAAACATAACATATATATTTATAACATGAAGAGAAAAAATAAAACATTTTAAGAACATAACACACAAATATGCCTTCTTAAGCGAGTATGAAATAAGCGAATTGGCATTCGTTGAGGTTGGCAATCGTTGGACGAGTTTATTAGTCTCTCCATCGCTACAGTTCTTGATACTTTTATTTTTTAATTAATTTTCTTCTATATATCGCTTGCCACGTGTGTTTTTATTAGCATGTGATGTGTGCTATGGCAGACTAACGTATCGGTGCTTCGACTGTCTGCAATCTGCATGGATAGCTTTGTTGCAATTTATACACTGTGTTCGCTGCAGTTCATTCGATGAAATTTGAAATATGTTTCTTGTGAAGGCTCTTCGTAAAGCTTTGGACTCGATGTTCTGTCTTCGGTTCTCATCTTTGATTACCTTGGTCTGCAGCTTTTCTCGATAGGTCAGCTGACTCCTTATTTTATTTTTTAAATTTTGTTTAACTTATTATATTTTATTTTCTGTGTCATATTCGATGTATCCTATCTTATTATAATAGTTTTTGCTCGTTTATTACACTTATTTAAATTTTGTATTTATCTTTATATAACTGAGTATTTACGATTGCAACTTATTCAATGTATATACTTAATTTTTATTTTATTATATATTCTATTTTATTATAATATTTTCGACGTCGAATTAATATTGCACTCGCTTTTAGCCCTGCTAATGTTGCTGACGCGCCTGCTTCAGGAATTAATATGTTTTTGGCGCTGGGTTCCAAGACGCCGCTTATCGTGCTTACCTCTTAAAATCAGTCCTAACAGCCAGTGCTGAAAATCTATAGCTCGCGTGATGTAAACTATAGGTTTTTAGTACTGACAGTAAATATTGCAATGTAGTTTAATGAGAGTCATTAAAATATTTAACAATTTTATCGCGAAAAATATTCTCTTGGCCAGGGTTTGAATCTGGAACTCCCGATTTTTCGGGACGAGCGTAATACCAGTTGTGATGTTCAAATTATTTATTTATTTGACGTAAAAATTGCTCCAAAATAATTTTTTAGTCAGTTGATTCCTTTTAGTGTTATTTTGATGATATATACATATGATTTGCTGTTTTGCTAATGTTACGTACATTACCGTGATAATCCTTCCACCATGATACCCCGATAAAAAATGTTTCATATATAGTTATACAGGGTGGGCCAAAAGTCTGGATACACTCAAATATCTCATAAACGATGCATTTTAGAAAAAAATGTTTCTTACAAAAGCTTAAAAAAACGCATTCAACGACAGTAATTATTTAACCTAAGATGGGGCGTTGTCAAGGTCAGATCAAGGTCAACATGAATTTTTTTAATGGAACCTCCCCTTTTTATAACATATTCTTGTAGTTTATTTCCAGAGTTTTCCAAAACACTAAACAAATTAAGTTCATTTCCATTAAGTACTTTCCGAATTATAAGGCTTGAAAGTTACAGTACCGTCGGCATTAGCATTACCCAATATGTTCGACCGACGGCTAAAACCTCTTGTTGAATGTTGTTCAGGATCATATAACGTGTAGATACTGTGGCACGCAATATTCACAGTGCACGACTGGCCCCAGCTTGGTGAGTCAAGAATGCAAGTAAGTAGTATTTGGGCCCATCTCGAATACTTAATAAAATAAATTCAAAA